ATTGTTGTTTAGACTGCCCGTGTGCTCTCTCCCCCCAAGCCGTGATGTGTCGGCCCTCTGTCCGCCCCAGCTCAAGAAGGAAGCATCGCAGAAGACGGGGAAAGCGTGGTAGCCGGCGCATGAGACGTGGGGCTGGACTTCCTGGATCCCTGAAGAAGCGGCTGGTCTGATTCGGCCCAGCTTGTGACCCGGTGGTTTTGAGACGTCTGATGGTTTACTCTGCGCCCTGCCTTGTGAACTTGGCCGGCTTTGAGGGTGAGCTGGCACCACGCCACTGCCAATTGGCTCGAGGACCTCGCCAGGGTGGGGTTTGTTGGGAGAATCTATGCTCGGTTACAGGCTCAAAGTTGGAGGAGATGGTGCCCGTGCGCGATCCCGGTGCTGCGTCCCTGCCGCAGACCCGGTTTGGTCTGGTCAGTGCCAGGTCTGTGCAGAACAAAACTTTTATTCTTCGGGATTTTTTTATTCAACATGACTTGAGTTTTCTGTGCATCTGTGAGTCCTGGATCCCGTTTGGTGACTCAAGCGCCCTGCTGGAGCTGGAACCACCTGGCTGCTGCTGTTTTAAAATCCCTAGATTGCGGGGCAGAGGTGGTAGGCTGGTTGTTTTGAAATCCAGCTTTCCTTGTAAACAGCTTACACCCACCATGTCATTTTCTTCTTTTGAACTGTGCATCTCCCCCTGCCTGCTCGATGTGCTGATTTATCGCCCTCCAAAGACTGACTAACTTCCTTAATGATTTCTATGATCTTGTGGCAGACTGCATCCTAAAATATGACTATGTATCAGGACAAGAACTCGGAGGACCCGTGATGACACCAAACACAGTAAAGCTCCTTTACAAGTCTTTACTAGATGTGGCGTTACCCAAGGAGGGCGAGGCTGGAGTCGGAGAGGAGGCATGGGTCAAAAACCAGAAAGAGGTGAAGCAGGTAAATGGAGCAGGTTAGAGAAGAGGTCAAAGACAGGCGAGGGTCGTGATGGCAGGCAGAGTCCTAGGCAGGGGTCAGGCGTGAAAACGAGGTCCAGAGGCAGTGATCAGGCAAGGTGAAAGGCTGGAAGATCTACTGACAAAGAGCGTTCAATAATCTGGCACTGGTTGGAGAGCAGGCTGAGTGTTATGTAGCAGGGGGAGCAGGTGTGTGGGATGAGCTGAGGACAGGTGCAGGTGATGGTAATTAAGTGGCTGAGGGCTTGATTGAGGAGGCAGCAGAGGCAGAGGAGGGTGTAAGCCTGGGAGTCATGACACTATTGTAATACCAATGCCCTATACACTGGCATTACTGGTTACTGATGCGGGTGGTGGTCTTTACATGTGTTTAAAAGAATTGTAGCTTGTGTTTATTTCCGATGATGTTTATTATTTCGTCGTGTTCCAAAATGTCCATGATCCATTTACTTGCAATTAAAGTGGTTTACAATGAATGCATTACTTGTCCCGATGACAGTCCGCAGAGTCCGTTACACACAGCTACAGTCCTCGCCACACAGTAAAAACCTGTTAGTCCCATCACAGCAACACCTGAGCCTAATCTGTGTTGGCTTACGTAGGCTGGTGCTTCCACAATCAATTGACCAATCAAATGAGGCCAAGCCTCCTCTTAGGTATGCAGAAAGAAAATGACACATATGGCTCCTA